GAACATGAAATTCGACATTTTTATCTACAGTTAAACTACTGAAAAAATCATGAAAATTGAACGAAAAATAAAAAAGTTATCACATTTCAAACTTTACCAAATATTAGCTTGTTGCGTTTTTTTTCCACCTGAGTGTATATAATTAATTTCTTCTGTCTTGTTCTTCTGTGTTAATGAAAGAAGAAATTAATTATATATTTGAATTAGCCCAAAACAATGGCTTTCCTAAAAATATCATTTGTAGGTTGTTTTCTAAAACTCAAAAACAAAAGGATCCATTGTTTGTTAGAGAAGTGTAGCAAAATAAGTATAGGCACATAACATTTAACGACATCACTTTAAAGGCACATCATATCTTTTCTAAACATGGAATTTCGTTAGTATTTTCAAATAGTAACACCATTTTAAGACTTCTGTCAAATTATCACAAAAACGACAAAGATATAATGAAGGAAAGTGGGGTATATAGCATTGGATGTGAAAATTGTAACTCACTGTACATAGGATAGACAGGTCGAAGACTGGAAGCTCGGGTCAGAGAACATAAGATAAAAAGCAATTCACATGTTTTTAAACATCATATGGAAACAGGAAATAATATCAACTACAAAGAAACAAAATTACTTCATAAATGTGGGAAGAGTTTTAAAATTGATCTTATCGAAATCCTAAAATCATGAAACATAAAAAAGATAATAGCGTGTTTTATTGTTTTGGTCTTGTCTTTTTAGTTTGTACAACGCGTTCCAGAAGGGTACCTGTTTTATTTATTTGCAGTGACATAATTTTAAAGTGTTTTAATATCTTAAATATTGGATTTGGTGGCGGAGAGTCAAATGCTTTTGAACTGTGCAATATTTTTTCTTCTTTCGGGTTTTGCTGAAGACAGGTTCAAAGCTGGGGTTGTCGTCAATAATATCTCTAATCACCATGGTTTGTCTCTGCTGTAGTATCACCTCCAATTAGAAATGACTACAGTTCTGGGATGTGCAGGAGGGTTACCGTTGAGGGGAATTTGAGATTTTTTGAATCCTTTCAGGTTTATACTTGGGAATTTTTCGGTGATGACAGTTTTAATTTCAAGGATAGATTTAACTGCTACTTTCATAGATTTCTATCAACTTTTTATATAGCGTATCCTCTAACTAGAAAACGTGTTAGGAATTGTGACGGAAGCGTAAAGTGGTTCAATGATACACTGCGTCAGATGACACTCAGGTGTGATCTCGCTTCCAATCTTTTCAATCGTTATGGAACTGCTAATCTTAAGGAAATGAGGGATAGAGCAACGTCGGCGTACCATGATGGCATTGTTGAGGCTAAACGGAAGGCCGCTGTCCGATACTTTAACGAATCGAGCAAGAAATCGTGAGCCTTTTGGACTCTGATTAATGGGTGCAGGGTCAGTGTGGAGAAGCAGAATATTGCGGATATGAATCCCAATAATCTAAATAGCTTTTTTGTAAATGTCGCTAATAACAATGTTGCTAAACTCGGCCCGGTTACTGGGTCCCCCTTACATCTGTGTCGTAGTAACTTTGACAATGTTCCTGTTTTCTCTTTTGTTGAGGTATCACAGAGTGAGGTTAGAAGTGTTCTACGGTGTTTAAAGACGAATAGGACTAGACACATATACGGTGTTTCAACCGGGGCTATAAAATGTAACTGTTGAGAATTCGTATTTATTTAGTCGTCAATTGGGTTGCCTACCGAGTAGGGGCGTCAACGCTTTATTGTTAGGTGGGGACCTGCGAAGAATCGACGTTATTTTTAGTAGCTTTTAGAACTCCGTCGTGGTTGTATCGCGTTCGCTCGGCTCATGTGTGGCTCATGTATTGAGTTCGAGTGGTTATAATAACACGTGCTTTGTTGAAATAAACGTTGATCAATGACTGTAAGCGTTTTGTTTCCGAACCATCGTGGAATGTAAGACCGGTGGTCTTATGATTCGCGACAGTAACATTAGCCTCATGGTTGCGCCCCTTACCATGATGGTTAACAGCATGATGCGATCACATACTTTCCCGGATCAATTGAAGATTGTTGGAATTATCGTCCCATTAGCATTCTCCCGATACTATCCAAAATATTATTGTACGATGTGCTTTTCGAGAATCAGTTCGGCTTTCGACTTGATAAGAGCACCGGAGATGCGATTGTTAATTTTATGAATGTGTATCACAGCACGTACGAGGATCAGGAGTACTGTGCTGCTCTATTTGTTGATTTGTCTCGTGCTTTTGATAGTGTGTCGCACCGTATTCTTCTCCTGAAGCTGAAGTCTGTTTTTCGCTTTGATTTAAATAGTGTTGCTCTTATCGAATCATTCCTGTCCGATAGATTTCAAGTGGTTAAATGTGGAGACAAAGTATCTGGAAAACTTCCAATCGCGAGGGGTGTCCCTCAGGGATCTATTTTGGGGTCCCTTCTGTTCCTCCTTTACTTTAATGATTTTCCTGGTTACCTGGGAGAGGGTGTAAAGTGTTTGTTGTACACTGATGATGCCACATTGCTTGTCTCCGGGTTAAACTACGGGGAGGTAATGTCTTCCTCAGACAAACTGTTGACTGCTGCAAATGACTGGTGTGTGGCTAATGAACTATGTTTCACAAAGACAACACGGTTCAGACACTTTTCACCCTTAAACGGGATGACTGATGGGTGATTTCCCCCCTGCTAGATTGCTGGGTATAACGGTGAGCTCCAGAGATCTGAAATTTGATGTGCATGTGGCTGAAATTGGTAAAAGATCTCAAGAAACATTTTTCTACTACGTAGGCTATTGAGCTCGGTATCTGTCGAGGTGGCCAAAACTGCCTATTATGCGCTGATACACTCAATGATTGACTATGGTATTATTGCCTGGGGTGGGAGTACAGCAAGTAATTATGTGTTTGGTTTACAACGCAGAGCTGTGAGAGTGTTGGCTAAACTTAGCTATAGGGAAGATTGTCGCCTCGCCTTTGAATCCTTGAATATTCTAACGCTTCCATCATTGTTTATTCTGAAATGTTTGCTATATATTCATAGTAATGATGAACAGTATAAGACGCACGCCGACGTGCACAGTTACTTTACCAGAAACCGTACGAACATGTGCGTAGATTTTTGTCGGTTGAGTAGAATGCAGAAAGGTCATTTGTATACTGGTCAGATTTTGTATAATAAGTTACCGCAATCTGTTAGGGCAGGACAATACAAGCATATTAAAACTGGTATAAAGAATTTCCTGATGACGGAAAATGTATGTTGTCATTGTATGAATGTATTTTTATTGTATTTTCTCCTTGGTTTATGCGTATGTATTTTGTTGTATATTCTGTTTAAAATGACGTGTGTAAACCTTTGGCATAGAGCACTAATAAAGTTATTATTATTATTAAATAGAGAAATTTAGATTTTCAACATAATTTCATTAATGTTTCGAAAACTTTTATAGTTTCAAAGATTTTGACTGTGATTATTTAGAAAATCAGTTCAGTAGATTATAAATATTTTTTGTATTCATTTTAACATTTTTGTAACAGTTTAGTTTATATACGTTATTTTGATTTCTTTTAGTTCGATTGAAGATGAGGTTTGTACCTCGAAACTAGTTTCGAATAAAATATAATAAAAGCAAGTAAGAGGTTTTTATTCCTTATTTATTTAAAAAATTTAATGTTGAATTGGAAATTTTTTACTAATTATAAGTACCACTTATATTTTATAAAAATATACATTCTTCATTTATTTCTTTCTTTTATGACTTATAATTTTATTGATTCGTGAAAGTTTACGTCTCGAAACTATCAAGTTAGCATAGGTTGCAAAATGGGACTAGCTTTGCGAGTGCTCTTAAGTCGGGTGCCTTCACTTTCTACTAATTCTCGGTTTCATCTATCCACCTTTCCCCTACCACGATTGTCTCTCGTTTTTTCTGTAGCGTCCAGGTTCGCGCACGGTAAGCCTACATCACAACGACAGCAATCGCAAGGTGGTATAATAATATTTTCTTCTCGTTTTTCGATCAGTTCTGTTAGTTCTTATGTGAGAATCTCAGTAGTGCGCGCTCTTCGAAGTTACATCGCGAAGAATCAATGTAACAAACTTTACCGGTGATAAGTGATAATAAGTTGGTTCGTTTTAAAAAGGAACCAGTTTATAATACCAAATAGATTTAAGACATTTTAGAATATTTTTATAAGTAAGAAATTTTTAATTTAAATTTTGTTAGTATGTTTGAATACTATCAATCGTAAAAGTTACCGAGAAACACCTTAAATGCACTTCCATTTAGAAAACTCATCTTCACTCTCTTCTCTTATTAGGCCACGCGATTTACGAGAAATTAATAAAAAATAATTATTTTTCAAATAAACTATAAGTTTAGTTGAAGTAATAATTTAAAATTGGATTTAAAATTTCATGTTGGAGGAGTGCTGACATAAACAATGTTATCAGCTTGAGAGCCTACGATGCGAAATTTAATTGCTAAATGACCTATAAGCAGTAGATACACATTTCAAATTTTTACAACAAATATTTTCGAACTTTTTCTCAAATATTTTTTATTTGACGAAGAGAATGCAGTATTTAATTTCACAAGTATACATCACGCAGTTTGAACCTTGATAAAATCCGTTGTTAACAAATCAGTTGTAAATCAAAATCATGTTTTATAAACCTTGACTTAAAACAAGATTTTTTCAGTTGAAAAAAGTAAATATATTAAATTAAAAAGTATTCAGCCTCCACTATCTCTTTATCTTTTACGGAAATATAAAGCAAGCTTCCACTTCCTTGCTTCCTTTCATTTCGTTTATAATCAATCTTTGGCTCGAAATTGTGAATTCTCATCAAGGATAACAAGTCATATACTCAAATATATTCCGTCAACTTCTATTATAACATCGATTTGTTTGCAGTTAATTAGCAAGTACATATCGGCACACACCCTATTATTTAAATAACGTTTAAATAATCAATTATAAATCTGTTTTTGTTATGAAATACAAAATGATACAAACAAATTTTCCTATAAATACATATTTATGAAGAATCGTCATTAATTTCCCGGATTAATCTTTTCCGGGAGTTTAAAACCAGATTGAATCGACATTTCTTTCAGTTAAGTGTGATGTTAACGTTTAATGTCTATATAAATTATTCATTATCGCATAGCGCTTTTTTAAGCATGACTTAAACGAATATAATAAACGCGTTGATATGTTTGTTTATAAGAAAAACAGATTCCTCAATCTAAATATTAATTACACTTTTATGGCGACACGGGTTTCTTAATTCAATTTAAAGTTTCAGTTATAGATTTACGTAACGATTTTATTTACATTTATTAGGATTAGAAAATTGTATAAGGATTGAGAAAGAATTTTCTTTGTATCATGATATTTATATTTTAACCCACATGTAAAACCAATTTTCATTGTCTCCTTTAAATGGTGAGATTTTATTATATAAAAGCTGTTTGAGAGTGTATGCTTAACATCATTTGATTAAACGTAACATTACAGTGTGGTGTCGAGAGAAGAAAATATATGTGAGATCGTAGTGAAAATAAGATTGTGAAATACACTAACAAAGGCGTAATGACTTAATTTGATTTCAGATTTTTTTTGTTCAAATATGGCGGGTATCAATAACATAGTAGATTTTTACAATTATCTGATGGAAACTAAAAGTGGTAAGTATTGCGTAATAAGAAATAAAATTGGGTCACTTTCTTATACTGGCGCAAACATGAATTTTTCTCTCAAATGCAGGTCGACCGTTAAAATGCTCAATTTTCCATATGCTACAAAACACAAATTATTTTAATTACTTAACTAAACTATTCTTTATTACAAACCATAAGTACTTATATAGTGTTAAAATATCATACACCCTCCATAATTCTGTCAGTAGATAATTGCACAATTATTACTTTATTTATTAACGTGTGTAGATCCGAGGACATCCGATTGGTTTCTATTACAATCTCCTGGTCCTCTGGTCACGATCTTGGTAACTTATCTATACTTTTGTATATGGGCTGGACCAAGGTTTATGAAAGATAGAAAACCATACGAATTAAAAACAGCAATTATTCTTTATAATGCTGTACAAGTCGCGATGAGTTTATTTTTAGTATACGAAGTAAGTTGATTAAAAATCCATTTGATTTATTATTTTTCCATGTACATATTTTGTTATAGGGCATCCGTGGTGGATGGTTCAACGGATATAATTGGTCTTGTCAACCAGTTGATTATTCAAATGATCCTAAAGCATTAAGGGTAATTAACAAGATCAATGAATATTTTTTAATAAAAAGTTACTGTTTATTTTTAGATGGCATCGGCAGTGTGGTGGTACTTTATTTGTAAAATCAGCGAACTTTTAGACACTGTTTTCTTTATATTGAGAAAAAAGACAAATCAAGTGACTTTCTTGCACATTTACCATCACAGTATGATGCCGGTGTGCAGTTGGATTGGCGCGAAATTCTTACCAGGTAATCGAAGAAACCAGTTCTCAATTTTCAAGAGTGAATTACCGTTAGACTTTCCATAAAAAGACTTTAGCAGACATTGTGTACCGGAAAATGTCAATAATCGTAAAGACATCTTAAGTGGTCGTATTTTATTGTTTTATTACACATGTTCGATCAAGGTTTTTAGGTCAACTGCAGATATAATGCAGTGTAAACAATTTGTTTACAAAGTTTAATCATTTAGTTCAAAACTAACATCTGATAATATTAAGGACTTTTTTCTTTTTTAATTAAACACGTAATGTTATTGTAGGTATCAAGAACTAACAATTAACAACTCTAATTAACCTCTTAATGCATCAATTAAAAATTAAAAAGTGATCGTTTTTATACTAATTTTTTGCTGTGCAGACTAAATACTGGCGAGTTGGGTTTTCTTTCAATGCTGTTAGTAACCTGCTAATAATATGTACTATTAGTAGTATAGGACGAATAGTGGCCGTCCACATTTTGAACGGACATTTCACCTCCAGTTTTTTTGTAAAGCACTAAAGCATTCTACAGGGTGATTTATTAGCTCACCATCAAACTTCGACATATGATAGCTAATGCAATTACCAAAAAAAATGTTAATGAACATATGTCCTATTTCAATTATTTACGAAATTATAACACTTTAAAGTTTTCTGCAGCGAATTTATTAATAATCAGTAAAATCAAACATTCAACAAAAACAAAGTCATTGTAATATGTCAGTTTGCTGTAAGGTTTGATTATTACATACAAGAAGAAACTTAAAATGTACGCTTATAGCACTGAAGAGTATGCTGATATAATTTTTGTGCATGGTTTTTGCAATGGAAATGCTCGACAATAAGTACCAGAATATGAAGAATGATTTCCACAGCGTCATTTGCCATATTATTCAGATTTTAGCGATTCTTTCAGAAGACTTCGAGAAACAGGTAATCCTGCTCCAGCAAAAGCTATTCGACTGCACGTAGTTAATGTAGAGGAGGAAGAAGCTTTAATTGATGCTGTCATTGATAATCCTTCCATCAGCACTCGAAGAATAGCACACAACATACATGTAAGACAAAATTTTGCGTGGTCCGTATTGAACCGCGAAGTCCTTCATCTATATCGTAAACAGAATGTTCAAGTTCTACAGCCAGGAGATAATCAGCAACGGTTAGCATTTAGTGAATGGTTATTGCAGTAACATGCCCAAAATAATGACTTCATTTCAAATGTTCTCTGGACAGATGAACCATGTTTTACACGAGATGGTATAAATAATTACTATAATGAACATCTCTAGGCATTACAAAATCCGCACGCGATTAGACCAGGGCCGTTAAGTATTTTTTTTTTATTGGCTCTTTCGAAAGTTTTTTAAAATTGATTGACCCCATATTTTTTAATTTTTGATTCTGAGGCTTAGTTTTTCCAAAAAAAAATAATAAAGTTAGAAATTACAGGCCGCGAATTCAGTAGCGCGTCACTCAGATTTGAGCATACGATTGGAGCGTATAAAAATCAATAAAATTCCTGGAGAGAGACAATGCTATGAATCTTATGCGCTAAAAGAAAACAGAAGAAAACGGGAGAGAAATCACGTCTGTGATTTCTTTCTTCTTACTTAAAACGTCACAATGAATCAGGGGTGGGGAATTTTAAAGTTTTACATTAATTATTGCAAAAATTAAACAATTTTCGAACGTGAAAACGTTACTAATCCATCTAATTTAATTTACATTATCGATTTTTTGAAAGACGGTCTTTCTAATCGATTGACTTAACGGCTTGACTTACTAGGTTTGCATGTACTTGATGGACGTTTGAACGCTGTAAATTATAGATTTTTTTAACGATACACTTTTTTTTACTTCAAGATATACCTCTTAATGTAATTCAAAATATGTGGTACCAGCATGAAGGTGCCCCACCTCATCGCGGAAGAGTAGTTGTCGAGTGGTTAAACCAAATGAAACAAATTGTGTATCAAATGAAAATTAACACATGAAAACAGTTATTAAACAGAATACAAATGGCTGCTACTGAAACAAGAAATCAACCAGACATTTTAATTCGGCTGAAGAACTCTTTAATTCGTCGTTGTGAAGCATGTGTTCTAGCAGAATGTATTATGTGTATTAAAAAAAATGTAGCAGTTAATTATGATATAAAAATTAAAACTTTAAAGTGTTATAATTTCGTAAATAATTGAAATAGGACATATGTTCATTAACATTTTTTTTTTGGTAATTGGATTAGCTATCATATCTCAAAGTTTGATGGTGAGCTAATAAATCACCCTGTATATTTCCACATCTAAGAGATTATAGAACACTTTTTTCTTCTTTTACTTTTTACATCTTTTTCTAGGGTCAGGTTTTTAGAAGGCAGAGGTATTGATCCATGGCCTCTACATCCACCATTAATGGACTGGGAATAGTAGAGATAAGAGAGATGCTTTTCTTATCTTACCATTTCATTACACACACGTTTCTTCTCTGAAAAGAAATTGTTCCATCAATTTTGATGATTTTACTCTTCAAGTCACTCAGCACTTCTATACTGGATAGGTTTTTTATTAGGATAAACAATGTCCTTTATTAAACAGTGATTTTATCAATATCATCATAATTCGATACGACATTGAAAGAGAACAGTACTTTTAGCAGTAAAAATTATAAAATTATAGGGAATCAGAATTTGGCATCTTTTTTTTAAGTGGAATTTACAGCACCCAAAACAACCTTCATATAGGAATAAAGTTTCGTTACTAGTCACATATTTTTCTGAAGTAGTTTTATTGTCGTTCTTTTTCTGCTTCTTCAATGACTCCATAGACCGATTGACGCCTGATCATGACCTCCCTCCTTCAATTTCTGGTAACAAGCATCTCTGCCCGTCTCATATTCCCATCTTGTTCTCTGCCTTCCCCTAAGTGTCGGATTTGGCATTCTCCTATTAATTAGTTGCTACAGCCTAACCATATCTCTTGCCCATTACAATATCTGGATCTTGATGCACTCTGAGAGTATTAGCTCCGGTAGGAGCTGTTATATTTTGTTCCCCATATATTATCCTCATATATTGCGCCTACAATCCTTCTCAGGATTATTTCATCAAAGACATCTGTGCTATTTACCAGTTTCTGAGTTAAATCTTAAAATTATTTATATAAACTCGAAACTTTATGTTCATTGGTATATCTTTAGATTTGATTATATAGCCTATTGCATAGTAAGGTTTTTTTTTGGTGGGGACGTTTTTGGTAAGGTTTCGATGGGGACATCTTTGTCTTAATTGATTTATAAATCTACACGCAATTTGTATATTGTTACCCTTGAAGTCTTTTTCCATATTCAAATGTTAGTCATTTTTATAACCTGTCTTCTTCCCTCTAATGATTATATTAGTTGCTCTTCTCGTCTGCTTAAACGCCTTTCTCTCGTGTGCATCTATCTATCTTCATGATATACACTTCGTTCCTTGTTCGATCTCTCTAAATTAAGTTACTCCTGCTTGTGGGTATTCTGTAGTACTTCTCTGTTAATTATGCAACTACATTTTATCTGAACTGATATAGTGTATATATCAGTAAGTAGTATATATTAGTAAGTAGTCTATTTAATTGTGTGTTCCCATCTAGTGACCTCGATGTGACGTTGTGTATATTCCGATACGGGAAACATGTTGAGCTTACTGCTCACATACTTACTGAAACTATGTAAACTACATATACCAATTGTTCCCATAAACTCCTGCTACTTTTCGATCTTTGCGATTATTATCTTGATATCATTTTTTGGCTATGAGTCGTAAACGTTTTCTAGTTGTTGATAGAAGGACAAGACTTTGAAGGTCTGTTTTATTTCAGGCTACTGTTCTTCCTTAACTTAATTCTTTCTGACTTAATTCTCAGTTTCCACATTTTTTTACTTATGGGTCGAAAGTCAGTTATACTCATTCTTATAATATGAACGCCACTTCCTATTTCTTCGGACCTGTCTGCTTGCCACTACAATACAGTGTAAGCATTAGTATCTTTGATTCCATCACCCAGCCTCGAGTTTCCTAAATTACCACAATTGTTATCTTATACTATTTTATTTTAGCCAGCCGAGACTGCTGTGCTCCAGGTTTATTTAATGCGGTGATTATTTACGGATTCGTAATCGCACTTTTTTTTTCAGAATAGGGTTTTGGCCATTTCTTCCGTTGGAATTAGCAAGCTCAGTCTTTCATAGGATTACTAATTCTTAAAAAAAATTTAGGCAATACTATTGGTGATTAGTAATGTCTAAATTTTTCATCAATATCGTATAAACGAAAAGGCGAATTGTAGAGTTGGAGAAGTATCTTATTGTATTCGATACCATTGCCAAGCAAAAGCAAGATCTCTCTTTGAATTACTGCTATTGTGTTGTTAAAGCTTTATCTTCTGAATCACTTTGCATGGTAGCTTCGATATAAAAACAAATAAGTTACGATCTCGATGCTAACGACGGTACTTAAAAAATGTGTGTTTGCACAAGAAAAAATCACAAGTGAAGGGATAAGAAGCAAAACGGTACAAGAACATTTTTGACTCAAAACGAGTTTTGTGCATATTTGGGTAATTTATGAATCAAATTAAATGTGTTATTTACTACAAAAATCGGACGAATCCTGTATGTAAATAGAAGATTAAGTCAAAATTACAACAGTTACACCCTTTTGCTTCTAACTCTTTCAATTATGAGGCAATAGTAGATACAAACGCAAACAAAGCAGCCACGAAATAAGCAAGCAAATGAAATTACTGAACATTTTCTGGGACTGATTCTGCCCATAGTGATTTTCAGGAAATATTGATAATTAATTATCTCAGAAATGAGTTTTATTAGATTACGCATTTAAACGTAAAATTTGTTTGTATTACTATAAAAACAGGGTTAAGGAGTGTTATACAGTATGTCCCGTATCTTCCGCATCAGAGCATTATACGGTTGTAGGATACATTTTCCGAAATGTTTATAATAACCGCACGGAAACTGTCTAAAGTCGTCCAATAAAAAAAAAGTGTATGAAAAAGTGTATTTCTCTTTCCGTGTCGAATCTATTGGTGAGTACACGTGCGAAACTAGTTTAGAACGGCGCGGTGGACCGGACGGAGGTGAGACCGATTGCCTGAGTGTGATTTACGATCTCGGAAGGCGTCTCCCTAAGCTTTTGTTGAATCGCTAATGGACGACTTTAAACAGTTCCCGTGCGGTTATCATTAACCTTTCGGAAAAATTTTATTAGAAAGTCGCTTCAGATTAATGTATCCTATGTAATGTAATTTCGTTTAGTGCTCTGATGCGGAAGATACGGGACATCCTGTATCTATCCCTATATAGATACAGGATGGGTTAAAGACTATACATCCTTAACACTTTCATTCTTCATTTTTAATAATGCTTATGTCCACGCGCATGAAAATTGGCATCACGGATTCGTACATCTTGAGTATTGAATTTGTTATGTATATGACAGTCTAAAGTGATGGGAATTAAGTAACTATAAATTTTAAGAATGAAAATAATAAGATTTGTCCAAATAGTCTTACAATTAGTAGAATATTGCTAGTCTTAGGGTGGTGTTGCATATTATACGGGATGAGATTGATTTTAAGTTAAAACTGCAGTTTTTTCACAAATTTTTGCAAATAGGTAATTCTATCCAGGTAATTTTTTGATGTTAACCTAATAGGGCAGCAGTCAATGTTCTCGATGCCTTTCGTTTTCACATATGTTTGTTGTATATACATAACATTGTATGAAAATGTATCGAAAAATTTTCAAAAACTACTTTCGGTTATAATATCGGAAAGATAAATCTCGTACATTAAGAACATATTAATGTTCCTAGATATAACAATATGATTACAGTAAATTATTTTAATTTGCTATATTTAATATGTAAGATTCTTCCGATATTTTTGCGATTGTATTACTAAGCTAATAAGAAGAAAATTCTATTTTTTTTTCTGTTACTAGGTGGTCATGGTACACTTCTTGGATTAATAAATTCTTTTATCCATATCATAATGTATACTTACTACATGGTAGCATCAATGGGACCACAATATCAAAAATATTTATGGTGGAAAAAATACCTCACAATGATGCAAATGGTAAGAAAATCTGTAAATTTTCTCAATGTAACGTAATAAAAACATAATTCTTTTTTGTAGATTCAATTTTGTATAGTTTTTCTACATAGTGCACAAGTGCTATTTAGACAGTGTGATTATCCAAAAACCATAGCTTTTTTACTCGCTTTTCAAGCAGTATTTTTCTTTTATTTATTTGCTCAATTCTTCGTTAAAGCCTACATGAGCAAGGAAAAAGTGAAAACAACTGCAAATGGTGTTCATCATAAGGAAGTGCAAGTTAATGGTGTTGAAACTAATGGAATAGAATTGAATGGGTTACTTAAAACAAAATTAAAAACGAATAGTACGATATTGAATGGTAAAACAAATGGTACTGTAAACTACATAGCAAATGGAAAAATTAAAGACAATTAGTTTATAAATTTGTAAATAATATATTGAATTAGTTGCTATTATAATTTGTATAGTTACGTTTAAGAGCAGATTACGATTATGTATTTATTGTACCTTTTTGATATTGTACTTATGTTGTTAAATCTAAGGGGATGTTATAATATACAGCTCAATATGAAGTTATCAAATGAATTTTACGTACAATTTTCCATTATTAAGTTTGCACAAGATTTGAACTTCTTGAACTATATACCTACTTTAATAAGTTGATAGTATTAAATTTAGAGGGTTTCGTCTATACATTTCAACAATTTTGCAAAATGTGTTGAAGTAATAATAAATTATATTATTTTATCTTAGCACGTTGAGCGCCGCGTGGCCACCGGTGGACATAGTGTGTTTTCTATCCTGGGACCAAGATTTTTTTTTGTTGATTAGCGTTGTAAGTTGTTTTCTCTCCTACAGGCTGCTTACTTGGTCATTCTTTTGCTCATTTTTGAGCTCCGATTCTCAAGTGTTACCTTTAATCACTTGAAAAAGCAACAAATTCATCAAATTTTTATATTTTCGTATCTATCTCGATATTGACGTATCTAAGAGCAAAAGTGCAAGAGAGCAATATGGTTAACAATAAAATTTGCTACTACTTTTGTACTAAAATATTTTTTGTAACATACTGCGATTCCTAAGGGCTACCTTTAATCACTTGAAAAAGCAACAAATTCATAAAATTTTTATATTTTCGTATCTATCTCGATATTGACGTATCTAAGAGCAAAAGTGCAAGAGAGCAATATTGTTAACAATAAAATTTGCTACTACTTTTGTACTAAATTTTTTTTTGTAACATACTGCGATTCCTAAGGGTTACCTTTAATCACTTGAAAAAGCAACAAATTCATCAAATTTTTATATTTTCGTATCTATCTCGATATTGACGTATCTAAGAGCAAAAGTGTAAGAGAGCAATATTGTTAACAATAAAATTTCCTACTACTTTTGTATTAAATTTTTTTTTATAATATACTGCGATTCCTATGGGTTACCTTTAATCACTTGAAAAAGCAGCAAATTCATCAAATTTTCATATTTTCGTATCTACTTCGATATTGACGTATGTAACAGCAAAAGTGCAAGAGAGCAATATTGTTAACAATAAAATTTGCTACTACTTTTGTACTAAACTATTTTTTGTAACATACTGCGATTCCTAAGGGTTACCTTTAATCACTTGAAAAAGCAACAAATTCATAAAATTTTCATATTTTCGTACTTTTCTCGATATTGATGCATTTAAGAGCTGAGGTGCAAAGAGAAATATTGTTAACAATCAAATTTGCAACAATTTTTGTTATAAAAGTATTCTTATAGCAAGCTCCGAAAAACAACAAATTCTTCAAATTTTCATATTTTTTGTATTTTTCTCAATATTGACGCATCTAAGAACAAAACAGCAAGAGAGCAATACAATATTCGGTTGATTATCAACTCATAGATAATTTTACAACACTGAAACTTAGGCATTCAACCGAGTGGGGTTAGTAATGTATTCTAAAATGGTTTACATATTCATCATTATATCGAATGATGGCGTTAGGTATATTTTTATGAGTAACGCTGACATCATCTGACTAGAAAATTAACTTTAGTGTGTGTCAGTCTTTGATGGTGAGCAGTATGTTTCTGCGGATCTCCGTTCCCTTGCGGGATTGATCATGTAAGCATTTTTAGTTATTTTCATCTAGCCGTATATTTTTTTAAACAAAGCAAACGATACTATGTATAAATATTTGATAGGAACAGAAATGTTGGAATTTATAATGCTCTATATCAGGAGGAGCTGAAAATATAACAGGACAAAGGGAGTTATGACGAAGATTACAGAAAAGCCTTCGACAGCGTACAACGCTTCCAGAGATCTTCTAGATAAGTGGGAGTGAATGCGGACGATCTTCATCTAATTGCTAAATTGTATTGTAATCAAACCGCGAAAGTTCGAGTGGATAATGAGACATTGCGCCATTGTTATTCAACACATACTCGGAATCAATATTTGATGACGCCCAAAACAATTCAGAAGTGGAAATTAAGAAAGATGCTGCCATGGACGAAATCCATGGACGAATCGTTTCCTTGTTTTGACCTTCCTGTTTCCAATTTCTGGCCGCTCTTTTCAAGACAGGAGTCTCCAGGTCAATTCCTGGAGCATATCTTTTGTTTTGTCTAAATTATCAGCTGTTAAGGTTAGCGGCATCTATATTTATTTCACTTGTATCACAATCAAGTTTCTCAAAGTCGTACTCCAAAATGATTATCAATATTTTGAGCTGTATAGTATACCTCTTCTGATTTTAACGTGATTGCTAACTTCATATGGTTTAACTGACATGATAGCTGATATTGTAGATGTAACATTATAAAAACATATAAATAGAATAATTAGCTTTCTCTTAAACGCTCTTTATATTTTGCAGATGGTCGTTTGTTCCCAACTTAGTTCGGAATGTTGCTTGTTCTTTTAGCTGGTAGAGCATAAGTTCATTTTCTTTCTAATGTTATTATTGTGAGAATAGTTTGTAAAGGTGACTATTGAGAGTTGTCGGGCGGTAGTTTTCATGATTCCTAATGTCATTTATCTGGTATACTGCTTGACAGTAGGCATAACTGACGCTTTTCAAACTTATTTTCTATACAAGGTGATCGCCTCCAGATTTTATTGCTTCGACGACTTCATCCACTTTCATGGGTGCTTTATTAGTTTTCATGGTTGTTTTAGATTCTTGATTTGCGAAGCCCAGTTCTTTGTAATAGTGTCAAAATTTACACATTTCTGATCATGGCATTTAAATAATAAAAATAAATGTGGTAGAACTGTTTCACAATATTTAAGATAAAAAATTAAGATATCCTCTCTATTTGAAGTAATATGTTTCTCAGTTTTATTATTTCGGATTTGCCCTGAACTAGAGAGTTACACAATACTTTCATACTTCTGTTCTTTTCTATAGTTTCTTGGATTAGCTGACTGCGATAGTTTCTGACGTCACGCCTAATTACTCTTAGCTCGGTGTCTTAGCTTGTTGGTTTAGAAGGGTCTTTTTAATATGGTTTTCAAATCCCTGGATATCACTCGGCCTTGTTCGCGGTTTTCTGTATGTGATCTTTATCAATCTGTGCCTTTATGTATTATGTTTTATGTGAATTTTAAATCGCACATATGTGGATCGGTTACGATGCGAAGTATTTCTATTAAATCAGACATGTAAAAGCGTTGTAAATACCTATTATGTAAGTAGTCCATAAAATTGTCTCTTGCTTAGGTGAGTTATTCTACACATACGACCAAAATGGTACATTTCCGGCATGAACCAATTTTCCATTAACATATGTCACATAAACCTGTAGGAACGCATATGCTTTGAGATGTTTTACTGTTCCTTAAAAACTTGCGCAACAAAACATAATATGTTTTCATTATGCTGTACTTTAACTGTTTTCAATCACCACCCGAGATTTAGACAGTTCTTGGTTGATTGTTCTTTTAGGGGAACAAGGCATGCTGTCCAGGAAAGGACTTCATAATATGTTCGCTCACTTTAAATCTCCCGTTACCAAGAAATCCATAGAAGAGAAACATCGCTATCTGGGATTAACCAGGGGGTAGGCAGATTTATACTTTTTGTTAGCGTTTTTTTACCAAATCATTTTTGGTTTAATACACCATCCTTACTAATTCGTATATAAATCAATAATCATGATCTACAAGAGCTAATTGTACAACACTGTATCCATCTTTGTAATTAAAATACACAGATGTAGTCTGGTTAGGTTGGCAAAGAGTATTAAAACGCCGGTCAAGCAACTCTCCAGAATTACAGGATCTTAGGAATAAAATGGACACTACATTCACTACACTCATTGAGGTATTCAATAGTAAAATTAAAGACGCGTGTGACGACGGATGTAGTGTATACGGCAATTTATTAAATTAAAACAATTTTCACTATTTCACAGGAATGTCTAGTTTTGGTAAACTACATTACATTTTGGCTGCAGCCTGTAATTCAGTGTACTTAAACGAATAGGTAGTACTTAAATAGAATGTTTCAATACGAAATAATGTTTTATATTTACCTACCTTGATTAAATCTTTCAAAGAATCATTGAGCGCCAAACACACTTTAAGAACTATGTGAAATATTATCTAATTTGATATTTTGAGCAAATAGTGCCAACTGCTATAACTACCTCCTGTTGCCATGAATTTTAAAGAGTGAATCGCGATTGGTCGGCATTGACTCTCGAAGTTTAGTATCCTGTTTTGAAATACTTGGCGATATTTATGCAAAAGATATTCAAAGTTTACAAAACATCATTTGCACAATGTTGTCAAATTCTCCAGATGGCACTTTCAGAAACTCTGTAAGTTGATTCTTCATTACATGCCTACAATAATAATAATAATAATATGGTTTTATTAATCAAAAATAATGACAAAATAATTATACAAAAGCAATACGTAGGGCGGAGTTAGGAATCAAGTTCCTCTCTACCACTCAACCTTACAAACAAAAAAAAAATAAAAATATTTATAAAATAGAACAAAAGAAAAATGTAAATAATAAACTCAGCAACTATACGCCAGATTGTTCATGCATTAACATTTGTCGCAGTTTCTTCTTAAACGCATTCAAATTTAGAGATTTCAGAGAGCCTGGTAGCGGATTATAATATTTAGGGAGGCAATAAGTGAAGGATCGTTCAAATAATGAGGTCTCGTGTTTAGGAGGTGTAATAATACCTCTATTTTTTTTCTCTATTTTGCTTCAAGAGCCTAATGTTTATTAACAACCTCAAAATGAAGTCTGGAATGGTTAAATCAGGCGATCTTGAAGGCCAGTGCAAATTACTTCACACCTAGCAAAATTTGACATTTGCTGGAAAAAATCTTGTCTCATTCTACTGATAATGCTTCTGTGGCAACATCATCTGAAGATGATTTAGGAAAAGCTACTTTCTGAAGACATTCAGTAGGAATTTAATGAAATCAGAAACATGTTGCAATAAATTTCGTCTGATAATACCTCTATTTCTAATATTGATATTATGAACATCTGTCCTGAATGATATTTTGTTGTGTAGATACGGGGGCTTCTTCAACATGAGAAGCTTATGGTAAAATGATAACAAATGCAACTTTCTTCTGTTGGACATATTCAACCAACCAGCATCTATCAACTTATGAGACACATGATCATACCGTTTTAAACCGTATACAAGCCTGAAACAAGCATTCTGTACCCGCTGTACACGACTTACTGAAGCGCTATCCAGACGATACTTCCACTAAGTTCCTAATTTCCCGTGTTAAAATAGTTTCAGCCAGTGACACATCATTGGGAGCAAATCTCAGGTATAATCGGGTATCATCTGCGTAAAAATGACAGCTACAGTGTTTCAAACTATTTGAAAACTTGGATGTATACAACGAAAACAAAAGTGGCCCCAATATAGAACCCTACGGCACACCCGCCGACGCCCTCCGATATTCAGATATAGAGTTGTTTATCTTAACTTTTTGGTATCTATTGCACAAATAATTGGAAATCAATGATATAGCATTACCGCTAAACCCAACAAAATTTAAGACAGAACTAATAAAAAAAGACCGCTGATTTCTTAAGGTTAATGTTTCGTGACATATGAGTTAAGCAAAACATAACTTTTATAACATTTTGGAAAAATGGTGTATAAGTGCGAAAGCTTTCACATCCGGTGTTTGCTGATTACCGCTGTTGTCATCCCTTGGTAGTAATTTCCGGTTTTGGCTAGTTCATTGGTCGTATTGAAATCTATGGCATGCTTGTCCTTTTTGTGGCAATACTCTGCGACCGCTGTTTGTGGCTGCGTTTGTCTTTAGATATCGGAAGAACGTTCCGAATTTTGCTGGTGGTACCGTCATACCTGAAACATAAGGGTACAATACTTACCGTGTCTTCCTTCTGCTTACGTCATTTAGAGTACATTTTCAGAAACCTTTCTTCTTTTCCATATTCTTTCTGCTCGTAGGAAAAAAGGCTTGGATCACTAACCTCTTCTGTTGTGGATGGAGATAGAACAAAGCTTATAGGGACCTGTTTGTTTGTGTCTTCTTCCGATACACTTTTAATTCCATGCTCCCATCTATCTTCCTAATGACTGAAATATTCACGAACTGTTTTACAGCTTCCTTTTCCATAGTAAATTTAGTCATGGTGTGTTGAGACTTCAGGTGTTCTAGGATCCCATGGAGACGCTTTTTTTCATGCTGTCAGATCAGAAAGAACATACTTAGCCCGGGAACATACTTCAGCAAGCCCCCGGAATATGTCTCTGGCAAAGATCATCCACGGTATCTTTGACTGCCACTCTAGTAACCAGAGATTCCAAAACTTACCAGGATATCCTAGAGATTTAACTTTATACTTTTGATTAATTCCACAAAATGTGTAGAATCTATGACATGTGATTCTGTTTTACTTGTAAAAGCTCCGCCAACTGGTACGTTGGAGAATTACAGCTCTGCCAGGGAGTACCTGGTCTGGTTTATAGATTTTAAGTCATCCATAAATTATAGGCGATACTGTGACCTATACAAACAAATGAAAGTTAAATTGAAAATTGTTAAGTCAGGTGTTTAATTCCATAACATTGTTATGAAAAATGTAATATTGTACAACTTAATTCAAAAATGAAAAAATAAATTTTCAAATATGAATATTTATACAGGATATTTTCTTTCGCTCGTTTTTAAATAGAATCCGCAAATCGAATAATTTGAATATAACATTTATATTTATGAAATGATTAGGCAGTTCTTTACGACCTGCGCATGCAGTGATCTATTGACCTATATTATACGAAAATTTAATTCTGTATATAAGGATAATTTCGTAAATGAACAAATAGAATTGCATAGTACCAAACACTCACATAACCATGATTTTAGAATTATATAAGAAATTCAATTATGAATTGGCAGGTAATATATTTTCAATGAAAATCATTATTATTACTATTTTTCTACAACTGCATTATTTCTTTCTGTAGATCCACGAAGCAACAATTTCCTATTTATTTCGTCACCTTTCAAATTGTTAACTTTGCTAGCAGTTTATTTATGGTTTTGTCTAAGGGCCGGTCCACATTTCATGAAGAATAGAAAACCATTTCAATTAAGAAAAACGTTAATTGTATATAATCTCTGTCAAATCTTTCTCAGTTTATATTTTTTTATAAAGGTAAGGCTTTGAAAAAAATATTAATTAACTCACAACATTATATTTTAAGGCAGGGGAAATGTGGATATATGAGTATGACTTAAGATGTGCTCCTGTCGATTACTCAATCAACCCGCGGAACCAATATTTAGTAGGGATATGTCATATATATTTTCTCTCAAAAATAAGTGAACTTCTAGATACTGTGTTTTTCACGTTACGAAAAAAATATTCTCAAGTTACTGCTTTACATTTATATCATCATACTTTAATGGTATTTTTAGCGTGGTTGGGGGTAAAGTACTTTGCAGGTAAGAATTTAATTTTATTAATAAAACTAAGTTTGCCAAAAAAGCAATTCCACCGATCATGGAAACGAAGAGAACTAAAGGTTTTTGAACATTGACGTTGAAAACCCTTTAGAAGATGATATGAGTTTACACCAAAAAAATCCAAATAAATTGTAACTCGATATTTCTGTCAACTCATCAGCATTAATCACAATTCATTTTTATGGAAAATTTCATGACGAGTAAATGTGACTGAGTCTCACAGCAGAATTTATTCTGTTATGTTACATGTTTGATCGTTGTGATGTATCGATAATTTATACGAGAGTCAACTATGGATATCAATATTTCCTGCTGGTTGATAGTATCGAATGTCTTTTCGTAGTTGACGAATACTAAGACTATTTATTAAATGTTATTGTTAACTTAATGTTTATTGTATTCGATCGATTTCTCGATTAGACCTTTTAGAGTGTGGAAGGTGATTGTTTGTGCCATGTATGTATGTACATATGTATGGATTGGGGAGTGCATGCGAAACCGCACGCCACACTTAGGCCCCATTGTGACCCTTGTGCATCTTCCCATTACACAATCTGGTTACATCAACCAGCCTAAGGATTTTCCAAAGGCTAGGACAGCTCCTAGAGGTTTATTCCTGATGTCATCTGTGCTTGGCCATTCCTCCCCGAAGGTCCTCATTCTGAGGTCGGTCAGAGAGGCGCAATCACACAAGATGTGTTTAACCGTCTCGTCATCCTGTTCACAGACTCGACAAAGAGGGGAGTCAGCAAGCTTCATGTTTTGAAGGTGCTTATTTATCTTACAGTGTCCCGTGAGGAGACCTGTGACAGTGCGAACGGCACATTTACCGAGCCCTACGAAGAACTGGGCTGTTACGGCTGAAGGATATTTTAACAATTCCTTGGCGAGATGACAGCCCGGGGTACGGTCCCACCAGTTTAAAAAGTTTTTGTGGTTAATGCGCTTGATTAACTCGATATGAGTAGCTAAAGAGGGGGTAATTATCGGCTTGAGTGCACAGGGCTCTATCGGCAGCACGTTTGGCTAGCCTGTCTGCGTGGTTATTACCCTTGGAGCCAGAATGCCCCTTAATCCACTGGATTCTGACACGATTCTATTTCGCGGCCTCCTCCAGTGCTTTGTGACAATCCATTACTATTGCAGACATTATAATAACTCTGCTTAAAGCTAAAGGAGATTGTTTACTGTCTGTAAAAATAGTAAAACACTTACCCCGCTTGTTTGATTCAACAATGCTGTCAGCAGCAAGTTTAATAGCAGTTAGTTCCGCATGTATGACGGTGGTGCTAGACCCTAAATGTTCCGAGAAGCGGATCCGAGGATCGTGAGAGAATACCCCCGCGCCTGCACCATTTCGCCCTTTTGAACCATCAGTGTACATCTTAAAAGTTCTGCGTTCATCTACTATTGTGGGACTGACTTGGGTGAGGTACTTCTTTGATAAAACATATTTTGCTGGTCTGTGATCAGTCTTACACTCGAGTAGGGGTGTGTCTAACACTGCTCCCCTCCAGAGTGTTGAATTGCTGCCAGCCATTGACATGGTTATCAACTGGACTGCGTGTTCGCCGAATAAACTGATGCCAGTAGGGTATGAAACCAACATTTGCCATTGTAGGCAAAAGCCGGCCCGCGCCATAATAAAGCGCTCTTACTAAAATAGCATGATAAGACAAGTATGAGCAAGTTGCTTCATGTGAATATCTAAAATGACATTATTAAAATGTTTTAAAATGTTATTATTAAAATATTATTAAAAAAAAATGATTTTCATCGAAATTTTGAACTTGCTTATAAACAGGTACTTTGTCATTTTGTCACTGATAAAGGTACAGCAGATCAGAAAATTGCATAGTAGAAGGGTATTTTTCTTATTTGCGCATTTATCAGCCCCGCAATAGCATTAACCTTGCCGTGTGGCCGGTTGCTTTTGCCTACAATGGTCACTGTTGGTTGCCTAACCTATTGGCGTCACTTTTTTACACGGGAACTATGCGGAACGCTCAGTCCAGTTAATAATCATCTCACTGCTGCCAGCGTCCCCATCCTTCATAGTTCCTACTGATTGTAGTCTTTTCATGGTTATCAACGCCACTTCTTGAATATGTAGGTTGAGTAGTGGTAAATTTAACATGATTCCATGGCCGCGGTGGGGGTTGATAGCAGCGCACTTGTAACATACAGACACGCGAGTCTCTGTATTCTATTAAGAGTTTATACATATATGAGATAACAGGCACTCTTCCATTGTGCTGGTGTTGTGTCCATTGACAAATATTCGTTGAATAGCAGCATCAGTACATTTAGTAGTTATTTCCTTTTATTTTTATGGCGTTACCTTATCTTGCCTAGAGAATTTGTTATTTTTCATTTCAGAGAGTGCGTTTTTCGATTTCGTATGTAGGTATTTCTGAGATCTCTTCTGAGCCCTGGTTCATAAACTTAGGTATATTTGTTTCGGTGTTCTTATTTTGTTCTCTATATAGTTCTGCATAAATACAGGGTGATTCATAACTCGTGTGCAATATTTTGAATTCTTATTTCGATTCTGTGGCAGCTACTAAAATGCTTCCATTGCAGAAGCCGTAAGCAAAAATAATGTCGGCATCTCTTGATTAGTAAATTCTGGCATGATTACTAAAAAGTGTTTAAGTGTAAGCGACTTTAAAAAATTTGTAATTGTCAAATTAACTTTATTTACGTTTAACTCTTTTTTCCGAAAACAAAGTTTCTGTGCTAAAATTTGTAAAACTTGTAAAAACTATAAAATTGGCGTAAATATAAAATTTTATTCTTATTTTTTTATTTAAAATTTTATTTTGCATCAGTATACCACAGACCATCTGTATATTGTGTTATTTTTAGAATTTCTTCTTTATTAGTTATGATTCCGTGTTTGTCTCTTAAAGCTGTATTTATTTATGTCTTTGGAAAAGTTTCTGATCCAAAACTTTCAAGCTGCCGTTACTTTTTATGACCGCTGAAACGTCTTCTTCTACATTGGACTAGGGACAATTCCCTGTTTGTCAAGCCTCGTATTTTATTCCGCAGATGAAGAGAACCTGTTCTGAACCCACCTTTTGGGAGATCATACAAATTCTTGTCATTCTCTTCTTACTTATTTTTTCTACATGTTCCTTCCATTTTTTTTTCTGGTTTTTGTCCAACTTTCATTTCCATCATTCTCATCTTTTGCTTAGTGTTCGTGGTCTCTGCTGTCGTCTCGGCATCATATATTATTAGTATATTTTCTTTCTCTGGTATTTACAGGTCGTTACTTCCAATTATATAATAAGCGTTCTATTGTTTTTATATTTACAATTTTCCCTTTCCTAATATAATACATATAATATACAGGGTGATTTATAACATACGGAGCAGACTAAAAGAGTAGGTACTAGAAGTCAAATTGAAGATATTTTCTTAATAATGTTTTGACCACAACTTAATAATCACAAAGTATAGAACGTTAAAGTTGAATTAATGGCCGAGCATTTCCTACCATATACGGTATTACACTACGTTTAAATTCAAACTGCGAATATTTCGGGGTTACTTAATCAACGCATGATTAACAATAATAATAAAATCTTTGCAATACAACAGTTACGGCTATTTAAAATTTGTTAAAACGCTCAAACGATGGTCTTTGTTTGTTGAGAATAGCTGATACCATGTTTTCATTGCTGCCAATCCAGTTGATTTTGTTACTTAGCAGCGGACAAGTATTTTAATTGTTCTTTACTGAATATCAGCGGTTCTTAAAAATGGACGTTAAATTATTTAAAAAATTAAAATGCGATATCTATATAGATATGTAATACATATGTAACTATTAAGTTTCTAACAAAACATTATTAAGAAAATCTCTTCAGTTTTACCTCTAGTACCTACCCTTTTAGTCTGCTCCATATGTTATAAATTACCCTGTAAGAACAGTCTGTCCATAAAGTAACGCATATAGGCGATAAAATCATTATGAATGGTTTATGGAAAAATCCCTGAAACGGGTCTAAAGATTAAAATTTTTTTCCAGATTTTTTTTATTGAAAATTTATTTTCAATATTAATATTTGTTGCATTAGAAAATTTTCGAGAAAAATTATTTTAAAGATTAACTCCTTCAAATTTGCTTGACATGATAAAAAATAGCAGTAGCTATGAGTAACTGTGATAACCATTTATTTTAAACAATTGGAGGAGAAGTGGTTTTGACCAAAAAGTTATATGAAAGACTCCCTTAATTTTCGTTGAAAAATCACCCCTTAAAATCTTTCGCATCAATTTACATACACCCTGTATATACATATATACCTCCAGATCCTCTACCCTCCTCCCCCCTTTCCACACCTTCGCCTCCTAGCCCCCATACCTCCCTCATCCATCTTTTGCTTCCTGTCCATTACCTCCGCCCTTAGCTCACTACACCACCTCTCCACATCGTCCGCCCAGTACCTATTCCCCCTTTCCTCATTGCCACAGCGGAATCTGGCCACCAATCTCTTCTCTTCATCACCCCCCTCCATCAACAAATACTTTGGCAGTTCTTCTGTCACTATCTCCCCATACCTTTCATTATATCTCCCTTCCCGTTTTTGTGACCTTCTTTCCTGTCTCTGTATGTCCCTGTCCCTACCTCTCAGTTCTCTCCACATTTCACCTCTTTCCGCTCTTCTGTTTTCGATCCCAGTTAGTAAATATTCCATTCTTCTATAATATGCTTCCCTGTCTCTTTGCCCATAGATCAGCCTCCTCTCCTTAATTTGCCTCCAGCACTCTCCCAGGATCCTGCAATGCGGTCTTGCTTCTATCATTTCTTCATACTTCACTGCTCTTCTCCCAACCTCCACCCTTACTGCATCCACCTTAACCTCCTCCCTCACTACATACCCTGGAGTCTCCCTTGCCAACCCTAGTACCCATCTCCAATACCGTCTTTGCATATCCTCCAGCAATCCTTGTACTCTCCATTTCCA